ATATTGCCTTATTAAAAATGCTCAGATTTTGCTTATTATGACTGTAATGACCACTGGACAGTGTGTGTGGGGCAGGCTTTTGGATTTCCATAAACTTCCCTCAAGGTTGGAGCACAATCAAACCCCAACAGATGTGAAACGTCTTAAATTCCTGGCATGAAGGAGTGGTTCAAAGTTGCGACACCACAGAGTGTCCTGGGCTGCTTGGGTCTTAACTCTCCAACAGATTATTCTCGTCTATATCTAATAGAGACACACTGTTTTCAAATACTTGAGGGGAATGAATGCTTTTTAGCACAAGATGAAGCGAGTCAAATGTGCAGTTAAAGGAACACTCCAAGCCTGAATAATTCTCTATTTACTCTCTTTGGGCCCATTTAAACTGTTTAAGCCTTTCTCAGAAGGACCCCATTTTCACCTAGCAGAATCGCACTGATGTGAAAGTAATGTGTTAAAAGTATCCCAAGAAGGACTGGAAATGAGACCACAATGATGGTTACACTGGAGAACTTGTCTGTAGGGGACTGCTCTCCTTTCAGACGAGCTATGATGTGCCTTGACAACAGCGGCCATTCACTGTTCCCATCACACCTGCACCCAGGGAACACTTTGATATTAATGAGCAAAAGCAGATAGAGCACCTATCACAGGTGACATGGAAATCATCCAGACAGTGCCATGAACTGTATGTGTGTGGATATCATTGAAATTCCTGCTTTTGCTGTTATATGGAAGGTTTTCCTGGGCAGCTGATTTCTTTCCTGAGTTGTTTCCCTTTGGTGCTAGTACAGGATGTCTCGAGCTGCAGGAAAATTACAGGTTGCGTTTGTGTAATGTCTCTTCATTGGCCACCAGTGCTTGAAATAGCCTGTTGCAAATGTCATCTTTGATTAAAAAGCCACAATAAGCTACAAAAAGTGCAGCTAAAGGTTTAACTTCACAGATGCTCTGGAACCTGAAGTGTCTCAAGGCCCATTTTGGATAGTCGCATCTTTAAATGAAGTTAGTATAGTCTGGGCCAAGCATCATTATGGATTTCTTGTATCTTTGGTTCTCTGAATCTTTTCTAGGCTGTTCCTCCTAATTCCAGCGGTTAAGTTATATAGCACCACTTACTACTTTTTAAACAGTATAATCTATATTTAGCATTGCTCCCTAATTCAAACCTTGTTCTGAACCTAATGAAAGATTTAAGTCTGGCAGCTCTTTAGCTTTTAGCACATGAATTTGCCTACAAATAAAGATGTCAGCAAAGCATTTATTTTTACTTTGATTCTGCTTGTATGCCTATGTATATTTGATGTTGGTATATATGTACATTTGTGCGTATACATATACTTATTGGATAGGCATGACAATCAACTGAGCTTCCCAATCTGCATGTGAAAGCGTGGGTGATCATGTTAAGGATTCAGACATTCATTCATACTACTTTGAATAGATCACAACATGTGGTAAGGCCAGATCCACAGTCCCAATCTGCTCAGCACTTGCTGCATTGCACAGGCGATGGCTCCTTCGCTCTACATCCATTTCGAAAGGCTGACTCTTACAATATAAGTCTGAAATCAGGAGGCTTTTAATGTTGAAATGGTTCTAGGAAATACTTTGACACCTTTGCATGAGAAAGATGCAGGATATTCCACATTCTTTTGTTTAAAATCTGTTATGGCCTGTTATTGAGAGGGGCAAAAAATCCCTTTGTGTGCCCTGGCTCGATCTGTGCCCTTCCTCTAATATATCTGTGCTCACACTGTTTGGGTACTGTGGTGTTGTTTGAAATGCTTCTTGCTCTGTTTCTTGGATACTTAAAACACCAGTGAGGGATGGAAAACAATGATCTTTGTCCCTTCTCTGCAGGGTGTTGGGTGAGTTATTGTCCTCTGAACAATAGAGAGAACACTTAAACATGTTACAGTGGTCTCTTTGCCCCAAATACAGAACGTGGAGTTGCCTGTGGTGTGCCAGCAAGCCTGCTGCTGTGCACGTTTATTCCTCTCAGGCCCACGGCCAGTGCTTTCAAAATGCTGCAGTTGCAATAAGCTTAGTGTGCCTGCTCCGCTGGGAAAACAAAGCAGGCTCCTGAAGCCGTGAGCTGCAGGCTGAAGAAGGCCTGAGTAAAGCTGAGCGAAGCAGTTCTAGTGTTGCTCTTTGCATCATCAATTGCTGTACACAGGATGTGGAAGGGAAAGAGGTGTTTTGGGGTAAAGAACTGTGGAGCCTGCATGCATGTGGCATTAGTGAGCGAGGATCTTGGATCCCACTTGTGGGAAAACCATCTATTGTCTGCTGGAGCCGGTCCTTAGGCATTAGTCTGGGTAGGATCTGCCCTCGTGTGGAAAGAGACAGAGCCGGTTGTGCACCCAGGAGCAAGCTTTGCGAGACCTGGCCAACACATGGAGGTGGTTGCTGCTGTCAGGGGCTGCCCATAAGCAGCCAAACACTCCTTTAGTACTTATATGAATGAAACTTAAACTGAAGGGGATAATGAACAGTAAAAACACTATGAGAAAAATCTTACTTCTCATCTACACAAACACAAGAGGATTTCAAAAGGCTTTTATTCTCCAGGGAATAATAAAGCATTTAAATTAACCTAGGAGGGACTTGGATATGTTTTCTGATTCTTTCTCTTCTCTGAGGTGTACATTGTAAATTCCAGCACATCCCTAAAGCTAAAATAGATAAAAAATCCTGTTTAGAACCCTGCAGAACTTTGACTTCTCTCTGATTTTGTGGCCTTTAATAAAGATCTAATAAGGACTAAAGGGGTATGTATGCGTTTTTATAGTCAGACATGTCTTGGGAAAGTATGCAGTGTGTGTGACAATCTGGTTATTGGTTCAAAGGGGAATCAGCTCCTAATTATCTCTGATTGCATCTACCTTTGGAAAACCAATCCCTGGATGTCTCCCTCATTTTACTTCCATTTAGAAGGTTATTTTATAGGCAGAGGGCTCTTTCTCAAACCCAGAACATGTTTGCTGTGGGTAACAAGAACCATACCAAGGTGAGAGCTCTCTTAAAAACAGTCTGTCCATAAACTCAGTCTATCCGAGCCAGACAGGAATGAAAATGACGCTTGTTATACTCCCACAAGGTGATTTCTAATCATGATCAAAGCTTTTAATGTAAAATTACACTTTAAAATGTAGAGCACCACGAAACCTCAGTGCTGTGCGGGCACAGGGCTTTGAAAGCGCTGCAAATGGGATGGGAACGCTCACTTCTGAGGTGCTTAAATTAAACTTATTGATCAGCCATGTAGAGAGTGTCAGCGTGTTAATGAAGGCAGCCTGCAGCAAAGCGGGCTGTAGAAGAAAGCAGGCGCTCATCCTAGGCAGAATGTATAATTGTATTTGGCAGATGGAGCTTTGAGACTAGTGAGTCCAGGGCTAAACTGCATTAGTTTTCCCTTTAAAGAAAGCAGCTAATGTGGCTACAAAGCTTTAACTGTCACCTAGTTGTGCAGAGATCCCTGGAGTAGAGGACAACTCAATCCTTTGCAGAACTCCACCTCATATGCGTGTGTGCACACAGTAGTGATAACTTCCACAGACGTGCTTGGCAAGTATTGATTACACATTAGAAGGTTAGGAGCTGAAGGGTGGTCATGTTAATTCAGATCTGATTGGGAGCAGGAGCAGACTGTATCTTCTATAACAAAGCTAGTCCTGAAGAAGGAGAAAAAGCTGAGGAACTGTCTCACTAAATGTAATTGTTCATCCCCCCATGAACCTTCACTGTTTAAATACAAGTATAGGAGCAAATCAGCCTATGTAAGCAGAGCTGCTCACGCTCTTGCCGGTAATCTTGCTATGTAATCACAGCATTGTGTGTTCAGTCACACATGTGACTCCCTAGTGCTGCCAGCTCTCCCAGTGTTCATCAGGTTCATAGTCCAAGAGCACGATAGTTCATCTCACTTCATTCCATGGAGGGGGAAGTGGTTTTAGGCTTCCTTTTTGCACAGTGAAACTTAAGAACAACCCAACCGCGCTCTGAAGATTCATACACAGCAGATATCTGGCGTTTGTGCCCCAGAAATCCCTGTGGAAACCTGGTTGGAAAATGTATTTGGTGTTATAGCAGACCTGGGGGATCCCTGTCCTAAATGCCTTTAATTTCCCACACCTCTCATCCTTTGGGTGAGTTTTAACTGAGTGTGAGTGTGTTCCCAAATTGGGGAAGGGCAAAGGGTCAATCCCTGATTTTGGTCAGTTTTAGCAGGGATGCAGTATAGAATGAAACCGAGTTTCACAATGACTAAAGCAGTGCTGGTTAACCATCGTGTGCCTTGTCTTCTGGTACAGGTTTTAGGGAGATAACGTGCTTTTTGGGTGTTCGTGGTGAACATTTCAAAGGCTTTGCTTCCCTCTAGTGTTTCAGATTGGCAATTTCCCCCTTTTTTCCTCTCAATTTTAAACCCTGGCAAACCATTTTTGACAAGTTCCGGGTTTTTTTTAATGTTGCTATTCAAAGACACTTCACTGGCCTACTTGTGTCGTGCTTTTCTTAATCTTATCACTCTTGTTCCCAGCCTGGGCTCTTATTTCCAGTGCTGAAATGCATGCAATGAGCAGCATCCTAGGTAAGCGAAAGGGGCTCCAAGCCTTATCAGATTGACCATGGGAAAAAAACCATGGGCTCTGAAGGCCTTCTGGGTGGAAATACTGCTTATGAATTAAGGTAATAAAAGGTGAAGGCAAAACCAAGGAAGTTATGTGAAATTTTGGGTGCATAGAGGAGGTGGGTGTGACTTTAGCATTGACAGCTCTGGAGTGTGAAGCCATCTGTTCTTCATGCTTAAATATTAGTGTGAAACTGCCTGCCTGTGTATCTATAGATGTCCCCTTTAATCAGCTGCAATCTGTCCAGGCAGCTAAGCTGTTGGGTTTTCTACGAAGCAAATGAGGAATGATCCAGCTAAACCTACGCTAGCAGCACTTGTCAGTGCAGAGCTGCATGGTTAATCCCGGCCTCTGACCACTGCCTTTCAGCTTCCTGCTCTGTTTGGCTGTCCAAGGCTCAGACTGAATTCAAGAGAGTGGCTGAAGAGAACGTGACTTTGCCCTGTCACCACCGCCTGGGGCTCCTGGAGCAAGGCAGCCTGGATATTGAGTGGCTGCTGCACATCTCCGAAACAGTACAGAAAGCGGTAGGTTCAGCACCGGCTGGGAAAACCATCTTCTTTCTGCATTGACATCAATAGCAGCCATCGATTTAAAGTGATTTCTGTGATGATCTTTGCAGGTTGCTCTGATGAGGTAGCGTGAGAAAATACAGCAGGTTTGAGAGAGGTTTATAGCATATAAAAGTTGATACTCACATACGCTGCATTGTGTCACAATCAAGTTTAACACTGCTTTATAATCGCTTATCACTGGATAAACTTCAGGATCACCCTTCAGATTTTCATATATGACCTTGGAATTCAAGGCTCAGTTTTTGAAACCTGGTTTCCAGAAAAAAACGTAGAGTTTAATACCTACAAAAATCAGGTCTGCAGTAACTTAAATTAGCTAGCCAAAACCAGCCAAGACTAAAGCCTGTTTTCATATGTTGTGACATGCGCTGACATCTATTTTGACACCAGTATAAATGCTGCAATATAGATCTCTAGCATAAATGCACTTTATACATCAGTCTCAGACTTGAAATGATGCTTTGCTTTCCCAGCCTGCCATAGGCTTCCTATGTGACCCTTCTTCACCATGCAGAACCTTAGTCTGCAGCTCATGGACATGCACTGATTTGTTGTCCATATGAATGTAAGATTACAACTGGTTGTATATGTGACACACAGGCACAACAGTGACTCTCTCTGTTCCTCAGGTGATCACTTACTCTGGGGGCCGCGTGTATGATGACCTGAATGAGGAACAGAAAGGGCGCGTTTCCTTCACATCAAACTTCCTCGCTGGAGATGCATCCTTACAGATCATATCCCTGCAGTCCAGTGATGCGGGGAAGTACATTTGTAAGGTTAAGAATGCTGGGCAGTACGAATGGGCTCGCATCACCCTGAAGGTTGTAGGTAAGCACATTGCATTGCTCTGCCAAGGAAGAAAAAATTGCTAGCCTCATTTCCTGGGCAGAGATTTATTTCAGCAGGGTATAAATACACAAAGATGTGTCATGATCAGGTTCCACGGTCCAGCTCCATGTCTGCCTTTGCATTTTTTGGCACAGAACAGGACACAGGAAGAGCCTAAAGAACTGTTTTGAGGCAAGTGTAATTGCCTTCAAAATCATATGAACTGTTCTTACCGAATTACCTCCATGACCTCATCTGCTGACCATCTATGATCAAGCTGATATTCTAGCTTAGCTGGTGATACAGATCTCCCGCTGAAGACTGTAGGTTCATGTCCCAGGACCCCAAACCAATCCAAGTCAGTGGAGGTGACAAATAAGCTGCTGGGGTTAGCGTTTCCTGTGGAAGAAGTGCTGTGGCCTGCCAAATGCTGTGGGGAGAAGGAAGAAATGGAGAAGTAGGGGGAGGGAAAGGATATTCTCTAAATAGCACCTAGAATAGGAGCACAATGATACCGCTCCACTGAGGCAAGTATCCATGAGGCAAACTGCCCCAGACTATTATAAGGAATATATGGAATATACATGTCATTTCTATATCTGAGCCAGCCAGCTTTACTTCTTAGACTATGAAGTTGCACACAGTTGCAGTTAAAGTCCCCTAACAAACAGCAGCGATGTAATTCCTTAATGCATACCAGAGAAGCTGCTTAAGTGACGTACTTTGCCAAAGAAAGGCTTTCCACTAAGGAAACAGCCTGATGCATTTGCATGACTTGTCTTTTGTCCCTTCTAGAAAAGCCTTCCAAGCCCAAGTGCTGGCTAGAAGGGGAGCTGTTGGAAGGCAAGGAACTGTCCTTGCAGTGCCGCTCTGCCTCTGGCACTGCACCCATCTCCTACCGATGGCAGCGCATAAATGAGGAAGACAGAGCTGAGCATCTCCCACCTACATCGAGAGTCAGTAAGTCAGATCACTTCCTCTTAGGGCTCTAGGTACACTCAAAGCCACGTAACCACCCGCATGTACGTGCTCACATGCCTGCTTTTTAAATGGGGATCCCTTGGTGGCAGTGAGAGCAATGATATAACAGTGATCATGCTACTGCAGCTGGACAAGGAAGTGCATGTAGGAGATTTAGTGTTCTGCTGAAGGCTGACAAATGATCTTTTGTGAGACATCATTGATTGTTCTTAAACTGATTTGACCTGGAAGCTCAGTCTGTGCTTCTGTTAAGCTTTCCTAGTCTTTATTAATCCCAGTGTTGTTTTTCCTGTTTCAGACATTTCTAATCCTGGGCAAGTCCTACTGAAGAATCTTACACAGATGAGCACAGGGTTATACCAATGCATTGCCACCAATGAGGCTGGACAAGAAACCTGTGTTGTTCAGGTGACAGTGCAGCGTAAGTGTTGGCACATAACTAGTATTTGCACCACAGTTTGAGCAATGCTGCTTCACATCTGTCCCATCTCGCCTGGTGAACTTGCCACACCTTTGCCCTTGCATACTTCAACGACATGAAGCTGTTCTCATACACTGCATTTTTTGTTTGCAGACGGTCCTCTGTATAATCTAAAGTGGTAAACACATCATTTGGGCTCACATGGTTTGGTCTGTTAGAAATTTAGGGTTTTACAATGACTAATGAAATATGAGGGGAAAACCAGTGAGTGAGAGGTTCCAGAGTCCCTAGATTTTAAGGTACTTCTGGCTGGAGTGATTGCATGACATTACTCTCCAGCATAAAACCTCTGTGTGAATATTCCATTGTTCCAATTCCAAACGTTGTATCTGTTGCACTTGGGACAGCAAAGTGTCTAAAGGCAGCTGGAAAGGCTGACATGAAGTAATGTGCAGAATAAAAAGCAACTTTGGACATAATTTGGTTTCAATCCAGACTTAATAAACTCTGTCCTGAACACCAGAGATTAAAATCAGTGTTTTACCTGGTTAACCCCATCGAGGGTGTGTCCACGTCTAGGTAAGGAAAAGGGTGGAGTTTAGCACCACATTGAGGACACATGCAAACAATAGTTTAGCAGGTTTTTACGTGCAGCCCTCAGGGGAGATCAGCAGGAGCTGGAACTGCTGTAACAAAAGCCTGCTAATAGAGAAGGCTCTTGGAGATTCCATAGCTTTGGAATCTTGCTGCCCAGCCAGGCCTGAAATAACTGGAATATGGTCATGTAGCAAGGAGAAAACCCATCTGCCTCAGGCATCTGAAGTAAAAGCATCCAGGCAGCTTTTACACCAATTGAACTGAATTGGCTTAAAACCTCACTTTGGTTTGCTAAGCCCTCCATAGGGACAAGCCTTAAGGAAACAACTTTTAAACCAACCCAACCTAACCGCTCTTATCAAAAGAAGTTGTCATAAAGCATCGGCTAAGGGCCCATATACGCTAGGAAGTGTTCTCTCCTTAACTCTGTTATGATGAATGAAAAACACCTCGCACAGTGTGGTTCTCCTTTCCTCCTTCCTGTCTACACCCTCAGTTCACTTTTCTCCCAACTCAATAATTCATTCTTCAAGTGGATTGTAATAACTTCAGGGTGAGTTGGAGGAAAAGCAAAATCTCCGTGGGGAAACATTTGCAGTTCAAACACACTTTCTCTCGGGAACTGCTTGGTGCTGTGTTTCACATGTGAGTTGTCCTGTCTGTGGTTCTGTGCTCTCATGAGGGAATTATTCCTTGGAGAACTCTTTCTCTCCTTCAGTTCTCACCCATAGCTAAAGGCAAAGCACTTGTGATCCCACCCTTCCAGAGGTGAATACCTTTACCAGTGTTAGCTCACCTTTAGAAACAATGCCTGAAGATAAACTGGTTCAACCCCAGTGTGGAGACACACCTAAATAAATAGACTAATACATTCTGCTCTGATTTATACCCAGCTGCATTATGGACTAGAACCTGACCGTATGACCCTAGTGAGAGTTTACCACCTAACACACTTGTTTCTGGGCCACAGATGCACAAAACATCGGCATGATTGCAGGAGCAGTTTGTGGTGTGGTGGTGGGGCTTTCCCTCCTCCTCCTCATAGTGAGGCTGACGATAAGGAGGAAAGAAAAGAAGAGATATGAGGAAGAGGAGGCACCAAATGAAATCAGGTAACACCTTTGATTTAATCCCCCATCTCCCATCCTCCCTCCTTTCGGTTTCACACATCTTTTCACTACAGTTTTAAGTAACCTGGGTGTTAAGTGCTTTAAAAGGTTGCTCTAAAAAGCTTTTAAAGCCTCCCTAAAACATTAGTGACACATTTCTTGACTGTGAGAAACTTTGTGAAGAAATTCCAGAAAATTAGGTAGATGAAAATCTCTTTTTTCCCTCTCCCCAGGACATATTATCATGAAAGTCAACAAAATATTCTGACACCTGCCATTTCATCAGTTTGAAAGCATTTGCATAATCTTCTCCAGTACTTAAATTCGACCCACTTGAATGTGGTTTTGAGAGGTGGTTGGTTTGTTTGCTTGGTTCTGCTTTTTCAATGGCAATCCCTGTAGGGAATGCTAGGAGCAGGCAGGTCCTTCTTGAGTCTTCTGAACAACTGTGCTTCTGGATTTAGCTCCCCTGCGTGCAGAGCTGAGAAGCCTCACCCAGAGTGGGTGTACCAAGAATGCTGACGCATGTTCTTTGAACTCATCTGGTACATGCGTGTGAGGTCTGCTGCTTACCTCCCCTGAGCAGAGATTGGTCACAAGCCAACTGAGCTTGAACTCCTCAGGAAGGAAAGCCCTGGATAAAGATACTTCCAGGAATGAGTTTTAGCTGTTCGTGCCCTGGAAGAACCCCTTTGCCTTGTTCCATCCTTCTATTTGTAAAAGAGTGCACGCTGTCATACAGCATCTATGTACCGTTAGGCATCTTTGTAATCCCTGAGTCGCTGATTACTCATCCGGGTGTCAGACTGCTAGCAAGGAAGTAGTGTCTGCTGGTTTCTTCCCTTCTTCCTGTTCTCTTTGCTTTCAAATCTCTGAGCTTCAGCCTTTTGTATCCCCTTTCTGTGCATGGCTGTTTCCTTCTCTGTCTCTCTGGGCCCAGTTCTTGCACTTCTCTTACTACCCACGTTTCTTTTTGTTTAACTAGAAGAACCGGTCTCATTCCCACCTCGGTCATTTGTCATTATGAGTAAGGATTACGGAGCAGACAGCTCCTTGTGAACTGTCTGCACTGACACCTGGCATTCGTTCCACAGACCTCAAAGCTGCACACAAAGAGCCAGGCGTGTGCAGCATCTATTCTAAATCCATACAATCAATAGTTCCACAGAGCAATAAGGAATTCAGTTCAAAAAGCTGCATAGCACAGAACTTGGAAAACCCTGTACCGTGCTCAAACTGCTGGACAAGTATGTCCTGGTGATGTGCAGCAACTTATTGCAGCAGCAATTCAGTCTGGTAGAATGTCTTCAGTGTTCTCATGGTATCTGAGCTCTGTTGTCTGTTTGATTGCAGAGAAGATGCAGAGGCACCCAAGGCCCATCTGGTCAAGCCCAGCTCCTCTTCCTCTGGTTCCAGGAGCTCGCGCTCAGGCTCCTCCTCAACCAGGTCGACAGCCAACAGTGCCTCCCGCAGCCAACGGACTTTGTCGACGGAAGCTACTCCCCATCTAACTCCTCCCCAGTACAGCCAGAGGGAGGCGGAAGGGAAAGAAACTGAGCCCAAGAAAGTCGACTACACCAACCTGATGAAGATGGGAGCCACGCTGGTCATGGTGCCAGCCCAAAGCCGAGCGTTCCAGACAGTGTGACTGCCCACCGGCTGTCTGGAGACTCCTGCTGTCCAGAAACACTTCACATACCACCAGCCACATAGGAATTGTTAGGTTAGCTAGTTATCCTCCTGGTCAGCTTAACTTTAATCACTTGTGATCATTCACACCACAGGGAGCCCTCGCACTCCACTTTTTCTTACATCTTCCAGCACTGAGGTTCTGATACAGAATTATTTTCTGAAGAAAGATACATTTGAGGGGAAAAGGAGCCTTCTTTTTAAGTTATCTCTGTTGGAAATACACCACTGAGCATTTAAAAACTACAACAGCAAAGCGCTGTACAAATGAAGTGAAGCCAAACCTCAGGACTCTATAAAAAGGGATCAAGAGAGACATAAAGATGCAAAATATTCCAGAGTTTTTTGTGGGGAAGTCTCTTGTGGAGAACTTTCTCAAAGATGCATTGTCTCACCTGAAGATTTTGGGGCATGCTCAACCTCAAAGCAGACTGACAGGCACTCCATGTCTTCTGCATTCAGCCTTCTACTGAAGCACTTCTGGAGGCTGTAACTGAAGTGGAAATGAAAGGATCACTCAAAACAATCAAGAGATGCAGTATTAAGGCATGTGTCTGAACTAACTTCTGCACTACAGTGAAAGGACCCTTTATGTCAAGGCAACAGAGGTGCTATGATTGCCAAATAAACTTACTATGCACCCAGAGAGATATGGCCAAGAGCCTGACTCTGCTTGTATGGTCAGCACTGCAAAGCCACAGTAACTCCACTGCCACTGGAGTGGTACCTGTGACAAATGAGCCTTAGCGTGATGAGAATCAGGCACTGAATCCAGAATGAAGGTGGTACTTCCAAGTGAGGGCCACTAACCTACCGAAAAGCCTGGATGAAGCATTTGGAAGCTATCTTTGCTATTGCCAGGCTGTGAATTCACCAGTTTTGGGTTGAGCCATGCTGTAGAAGCCTTACAGAGAGCTCTTCCCAGGACTGAACAAACAACATACTTGAGCTGACCTTCAGGCATCCAGGTAAGACTGGAGGATGGAGTGACACAGCACATCGTGAGGAAAACACACCAGGGACAAGTAAACGAGCACAATGCTGCTTCCATTAGAACATATTCATGTGCATTGTCCCATTTACACACCAAATGCCATTTACACACCAAGGAATACAATGTCCAGTTGAAGGCCAATAGGAAATGATGGGAGATAGGAACAGGCTTCCTCTGGAGGCAGGTGCATACTTTTGTCATGTATATTTTCCCCTGAAGGACTTGGCTCTGCCCACTGCTACACACCAGCCACTGAGGTTGTAGGTTGTACATTCTTGTATTCCTGGATGGATGATTTGCTCTTAAGAAAAGGTTTGGGGTTGTTTAATCTTCATTTAAGGGGGGGAAGGTTTTCTCTAGTATGTGGAATGAGTCTCCAAGAGATGGCTCAGCACAGAAGAACCACACATCTATAATTCTTTCACTCTAGGAAGTATAATTAACCTCCTTTCCAGACAGAGACCCACAATTCTATCTTTGCTTGAGCTCTTAAGACAACCTGATCAAAGCCAGGCCCTGCTTTGGCTATTTCTGTATGGGAAACAGTTTTCAAACCTGCTCTATACTATCTGAGAACTTCTCTTCCTGAGAGCAGCCACTCATTTCTATCACATGTACAGGAATTTCACTTGTTCTTCTACCCCAGAGTCAACCAGGACCAATCTCTGCAGTTGCTCTTTTCCTGGATCTTGAAGGTTTAAGAACCCTAAAGTGCTTATAAGGTACTCCAGAGCTGGGAAAATCCCAAAGACAATGAGCAGGACTGCTGAAGTAGTTAGTGGCATCTTGTATGGTTGCTTTATTGCGCTTAATGTTACCTGAGTTGCATCTGAGGATACTTATTCTATGCATATAAAACCAGGAGTGCTTTCCTCAGTAACATGCCAGAGCAACCAGAAGCTTATTACCACAGAATAAGGGTAACAGTTGAGCTGGTTACAGTTTGAATACCAAAATGCTCTAGGTTAGCTTTGAGTCACTTGCAATTAGTGACTGCAGCCTGAAGGCCACTTGCTGCTGGCTAGGATTTGCCCAACCTGCTCCTGGCAGTCTCTTTCCTATGGGAACAGGCTGCAGGACAGATCAGCAGTGGCAGCCCTCTCCTGGTCTCCAACTCTCCTGGAGCAGGGAAGTCACTCCTTGTTACATGAGCTGTCTGATTGCATGAGATGGAATGTGTATGGACACCAGTGAAAAGGTAGTTGGAAGCAATCCCTGGTGTGTGGGATTATTCCCATCTGTTCCTAGCCCTTTTGGGAAGCAGGCAATACATGCATCCACCATCCAGGTATGGACAGACTGCCCTGTATATAAACCACATTGGGAAAAGTACTGTGGCCTTCTGCTATGGAACAAAGATGTGTGGCCCGGGTTACAAAATCACTGCGGTGCTTTCGAGACCACGCATCATTGATCTCACAGGTGAACACAGAGTCAGTTCTGCACTTCAGGAGCTAGCATGAAGCCCAAGAGGAAATGTTCATCACTCAGTGGGAATACAAGAAAGAGAGCATTTCAAAGGTGTTTTATTATCAAAGGGACACTTTCTGAGCTCCGGATGATAGGATCAGGAGCTGCACAAGGGAAGCAAATGAACTGTAAGCCAAACTCTATTTTGTAAAATAGTGTACTTAAAGCATTTATTGCCATATACCAGTTATCACTAGTGTGATTAAATGCATACGATGCTATGTAGCTTTCTTTTGTTTCTCAGCAGCTAGACTAAGCTTACGTCTCTTCTACCTGCTATGATTGGTGTACTTGTACTGTGTCCAAACAACTCAGAGGAAAGCAAATATTTATTATTGATTCCTTTGAATCAATTATTTCTTTTATTTTCTTTTTGTTCAGTTGGTTGTTTTATAAATAAATGTGCTGCAGCTTAAGTGCTACAGCTCAACTAAACCTGTAGTAATGCTCTGTCTTCTGTGCTCTGTGGTACATGCTGTCAAGCTGGATCCAAGGATGAAAAGAATGGGGTCAAAAATACAGTTTCTAAGGGTAGAAAGTGTGGGAAGCTGGTCTTTCCCTGGGTATTTTTTCAGTCTGAATTATATGCCATGGTAAGAAATATGTAAAACTTTGGGTGTATTGAAATAAATGGTGTTTTGAGTTCTATTTCACACGAGGTATTTTGGCTGAGGATGAGGATGCTTCAAGCTAATAGGGTAAACAGTGCCAGCTCAGACACAGCACACATACAGGTGGTGACACTGCCTTCCCATTCCCACACACTGCAGCCTTACTCTGAACCACAGTGGAACCCTGAACAACACAGAGCTGTGTTTGGGCAGTTCAGACCTTCTCCAAGCATTTTGAAGATAAGCATTTTGAACAAGCCAACAGGAATCTCCGGTCAGGGAGGTGCAGGGGAACTGAATGTGACTGTGGTTGGTTTCTCTCACCACGGTTCAGCCTCCTTTCCCCCGGGGGTGTTTTGCACAGAGGTCTCCCAACATCAGCAATCCTCTTTACTGGAACCTGGGAGGAAGAATGACAACATAATTACACAGCAGGTAGAACAAACCACAGTGGTCTCATAGGTGTGTCCTCCTCTCTATCCCTGATTCATGAGGAAACACTATTACTTGCTCTTGATGGCACCCAAAACCCTGTTGAGGCAATGCACGTTTTGAGAGGAGTTGTGCAATTGCATGCTGCTGTACAGCATCGGAAATCTTGGGTTATTTTAAACTTGGATCAGTCTGTACTGGGACACTGGAGGGGGAGAACATGGTGGGAAAGGGAAGGGATCTCCTTGGATATGTGTGATTTTCAAACTCCAACCGGGAAGTGTGGTATAAATAACAAATGAATAGGAAGCATGTCTGGTAATCTCCACTCTTCCCAATTCTGCTTTAAACCCTTAAAGGAGAAGCAGTGCTTCATCTCTGATACATTAAACCAGCTTCAAAACACAGTCATGATAGGATCACTACGGAAAAGCCTCCCCATAGAATACTTGATACTGTCCAGCCCTCTGCACCTTCATTCTTCTGATGAAATGAGCTACTTTTCTCTCAGTTAACAGCCTTTAGTTTCTAATGTAATGAGTCATTTGCCAAACTGCCCTCCTCCCTGCACTGACTCACTGTTGTTTTAGGCTGCCTTCACTTGCTATCAGTCTGCTGGGTGAAGGATGGCTCCACATGTAAATGTCACTATTTCAAGATGCAGGTAGTGCTGTTCTTAGATCCTGCTGAGATCCTGCCCATGACTTCAAATAATAGAACCAAAAAGCAATCCCCTGTTAACAATGTGGCTCCCATGGGACTTGGTGTGTGATGTATTGATGTATTAAGTGCAAGTTAGCACTGCATTCCTGAAGCATCTCCCCTGCAGCATGGGAGCCTTTACTCTCAACAGGGTGGAGTGTGCTCTGCTGTACCTGGTTAGATATGGGTTGAGGGCTCCTATTGACTGCCCTTATCTATCAAGGCAAAAGAGAGCGGCAGTTAGTGTTCTATGATATGGAGTTTTTCCTTCTCCTGCTGTCTTTAACCTTGTCCCCCTAAGTTCCAACTCCAAATGACACTTTCCGTTGTCATCCAAAGGTCCTGATTCAGGTTCCTGTGCATGGCAGAGCAAGAAGAGGAGTGACTCTCCATGGTCAGACCACCAACAGGAGCCTGGTGGCATTTCCCAGTGAGAACCTGCACATTAGTGGTCTGGTAACAGGTTTCCAGCTTGGGTAACTGCGTCATGCTCACTATTAGAGGTTACTCAGTGTTGCTATGAAGGAGATATTGATGCCTATCTGTATCTGGGTGCAGGCTTGCACACAGCAAGGTATTACAGAGCATGAACAGTCACTTGTTTGGGATAAGCTGAAAGGAGAGATTCGTTGGTGTGGTGTTCCCCTTGCCTCTAATATTAGACTTGAAGCAGTCGTTAGTGTGTGTACCCCCAGTATTGGACTTGCAGCAGTTACCAGGAGTGGTTTTGTCTAAGGCCAGCCCTGAGTGCATTGGAATTGCTTTTCCATGCAGTTCTTACCCCGGGTCATAAAAGTTCCTTTGCTCTTTTCCCACTGTGTCCTCTCCCATAGGCTGCCTAGGGCATGGTTTTATATAGCACTCCTCCCAGGGACTCCCTTTGACTTTTCCACCCAGAGTTTTACGCTATGTAAACACTTAATGCAAGCAGCAGCACTCCTCTTGGAGCCTGACCTTATGGGATTTGACCTTTGATCAGCTTTCAGCCTAAGGTGCTGAGACGAGCGCAATGCCCACAGCGTCCATCTGCTCACTTGATCCCTTCCCAAGACAAGGGACAGTTTTCCACCATGCAGAGCCTCCATTTCCATTCTGATGGACCCACTCATGGTGACAGCATGCACTGACCATGTGTCACCTTGTCCCGTAGGTTGGTTCGGTGCATTAGTGCCGATTATGGATAAGGAGACTAGAATGGATTAGAAAGTAGGGCTTGGAGGATGGATTCTGCTTTGTGGGGAAACTGATGCTACCCTAAACCCACAAACGTGGTTTTCTGTGCCTATTAGAGAACAAGGCTGGGGGAGAAACGGCAGAATGGTGCCTTCTGCCTTTTTAAAGCGAACAAGGAAGATCCATGCTGCTGCTATGGATTATTCAGAGGTAATACAGATATTATTGAAACAGCGGCTGGAGGAAGCCTATGGGAAGCGACAGGCAACCAGCTGCGAGCATGGGAATGAGAAACGCCGTCGTTCCTCTCGGGGCAGAGGGCGATCCCCAGTGCTGTGACCCGGGATGAGCCCTTTGCACCTCCAGCTTTGCTCCGGCTCTCTTCCGGCTGGATTCGATCTGCCTGTCGCTAATTGTGCTCAACCGCACATGGTTGTGCGGCGCTGCACCGGAACAACGCTGCTGACAGCAGCTCGGAGCGTCCGGGGGTGTGAGCCCACCCGCTCGGTGCAATAGGAAGAGGAATGGGAATAAGGATAAGGATGGGAATGTGGATATGTATGGGAACAGCGCCATTTTTTGCCGTCCCGCTCCGCCTTCCCGCGCCCTCTATGCAAATGACCCCACCCGCCCCGCGACCCGATTGGCCAAACACATCCCGAAGGCGCCTTCCCCCTCTCGCGCCAAATATGCAAATGAGCCCCCGGCCGCCTACGCTCGCCGGTGTCGTCACTCGCTGGAAGGCTACCATTGGCTCCCGCGCTAGCGAAGCTCCGCCCCCCGCCCATTGCAGGCTGGTTGGGGGGGTAGGAAGAAGGGGAAAGCGCATGAAGGTTCGAGAATACCGGCCGGCCGGCGGGCACGCCCCCTTCCTGCTGCGTCACGGAGGGCGCGGGCTTCCATTGGCTGTAAGGGCGGCGGAGTACGCGAGCGGATTGGCTGGAGCTCAGCGAGGGGGCAGGCGCTTCTGGAAGGTTCTCAGCTAGTATTAAAGGCTGCGGGGCGGGCACGGAACGGTCTCATTGAGCTGCAGCAGTAACGGGGTTGTTTCTCCTCGTGGTACCTGGGCCTGTGTGTGCCGCGCAGGTAACGGGGTCTGGAGGTGTGGGGAGGGCGCCTGGACCTGCTTAAGGCGTTCTTATAGCGGGGAAAGGGTATGGGTTGGGGGTAAATGCATTTAAAGCGTTGCTGTGGTGGGTTTTCTCCCTTGCCATACGGTGCGGCAGTGGTTTCGCAAAGCTTTACGCGTTGCTGCCTTTCTTTTTGCCGTAAATGCGCTCTAGTAGTGCCTTTTGTTTTTGTGTTCTCAGTTCCATGACTTACTAAACCACCGGGGGGGGGGGTGGGGGGGTGGTGTAGGGAGATAGAGGTGACTCGGCGTCCATGTTTCCTCCCGCTGGGCGCGCCCGGGGCTGTGCGGTCGTTGGGAGGGGTGGGTCTGTGTCAAGGAGCGGGTGAGCATGCTGGGGGTTGTAGTCCCGGAGCTCTGGGAGGGCGGATGGAGGAGGGAGAAAGGCTGCAGCACCGCCATGTGTTGGCTGCGGGCCGGCGGAGTGGGGTGGAGGGGCGGGGGGGGGGGGTGGGGAGGGCCGGTGCCGCAGCGGTGCTGGGGCTGTGCCAGCGCACACGGGCCGGTGCGGGTGCCATGTAAGATGTCCGCCGGAGGCCACGTGATTGCGCGGTGCATGATGGGCGTTGTAGTCTCGCGTGATACGGTTGACCACGTGATCGCACTCGGGCACCATGGCGGCCGGACGCCAAGCGGTGGAGCTATTACATGCATTTATGTGTGGGATAACAGCACTAAACCACTTAAGTTTTATTTACTCTAAGCTTTAATTTCCTTTTTCTTTCTTATTTCAGACAAAATGTCGAAGGGGCCAGCTGTCGGAATCGATCTTGGCACCACCTACTCCTGTGTTGGTGTATTCCAACATGGGAAGGTGGAAATCATTGCCAACGATCAGGGTAACCGGACCACTCCAAGCTACGTGGCTTTCACAGACACGGAGAGGTTGATCGGCGATGCTGCAAAGAACCAAGTTGCAATGAATCCGACCAATACAGTGTTCGGTAAGGCTGTAGGATTTCTATATTTCCTATACAGAAGCTTAGTATGGTGATGGTAAATGGTCCCTGGTCATAAGAAACACTGAGCACAGTTAAAGTATCCTCTTAGGCAATTAAAATGCCTTTATTTGGTTTTAGTCTGAATAATATAACTGCATTACTAATAGCATTTACTGAAAGCATAATTAAAAGCTTGTGCCTTCCAGTTAATCTTCTGTTGGTACTGCAGGTGGTTTTTGGCATTTAGTGTTAGGTGGCCTTGACTAAGTGTCTCAGTCTGATTCTTAGACTGCGCTGTGGTTTATGGTGCAGCACTTGCAGCATTTTTGTGGTAGCTGTATGATTATGCTGACAAGCTTGTATATACCCAGGAGGTGAAACATGCCAGCTGGGTCTTGACAGGACAGTAAGAATTACTGTTGTGGATGAACGTTTTTAATACGGCCAACTG